CCCCAAAACCCCAAAACCCCAAAACCCCGCAAGACGTTATAATTATAAATATGAAATTTTAGTTTAATTATTTATATAAAATAATAAAAGTTTAAACAAATGTAATATTGTTTAAATCCATCATTTTAAAACATGTACCAAATTCCAGAATCATAGGAATTACTAAAATATGAATAAATATAAAGCATTCAAAATCAAACTTCAAGCGAGCTAGCATCTGTGAATTTTCAAAAAAATATTGATTAGCTAGTTAAAAGTATTTTAAAGAAAAAACCCAAGCCGTTGCCTGAAGAATACATGAGTTAACTACCATCTTATCACAATCATTACTTGTTATTTCTCTACTAATTGGTTGATGTAAGATAAATGATTTAACATAATCTATTTAATAGGATAAAAGAACGGACCATATGATTACTTGGAATATTACAAAAAATGGTTTTTACATTCTAGATTGGTAATAGTTAATCGATAAAATAATTGCAAATCTCTACGAAAATGTAAACTATTTAAGGACAAATTTTACAAGGAAATTAGTTAAATACCTATTTCAAAGCAAAAAATTTGTGTCTTGTAAAAAAAAAGTTTATGAATTTACAAATGAATTTTTTTAGAAAGATAATAAGTAAGTTTTATATATATTATTTAAACTATTTTTAGGCCGTTGTTGAATTAATTAGAGAGCAAAGTCGGAGGAGATAGTAATTTTAATACCAAATAGAATAATAAAGAAAAGAAATGTAAACAGAATTTCGGGAAAAAATTTGAAAAATAAAAGAATAGAAAAGCTCTTATAAATAAAAATACAATTGCAAATGAAGTTTAGTTGTCAAAAACTATTTCTTAATTGGAATGTGTAAGCTAAAATTTAGTTGAAAATTATGATAAATAAACTCAAAATATTGATATTGAAGAAGGTATAAGACATCAATCAGAGAAAAATATAATTCCAGAAAATTAGTCAATAGAATTCTAATACAACTAAAAATAAGATGAATGGTAAAATAAATCTAAAGAGAGATTAGTGCATTATGAGTATCAAAACAAAAATATTGAAGATTTTGATGGCTTCCGGAATCATGAGATTATTTTTGAGGATTTAAAATAGTAAGATCAGAATTAATGCAGTAAAATGAATTAGGCTTAAACGCTGCATATTTAGAATTAATTTATTGATTAAACAAGTCTAGAAATGAATTAGTAGTTTAATAATAATATTGAGCAGCAGACATTTCAAATTGATAGCTTTGGATAATTAGATCCAACAAAAAGTGGAGATTCTTTTGAAAAAATTCTCTAATAATAATAATAATAATAATAGATGATAGCCCCTAATATATATTAAAAGCAATAGTAGCAATAATTTATCAAAAGTAAAAATCAAAAATTTAGTACAGCCAATAAAGTTGATCAAAATTTAAATTTAGACAGTCAAATAATAAATTTAGAAGGTTAGTTACTTTAAATAAATGATATGATTAATGATGTAAAAGAAGGATAAGATTTTTTAAACAAGGAATCTCATTAATGCTTACAAATTACAAAGCAAATACTTAAAAATCAAGATTAAATTATAAGTAGAATTGGAATGATTGAAACTACAATATCTTTAATCTAGAAATGCTAAATGCTTGAAAACAAGTAAACTAGTTGCGGAGATATTAATTATAAATAATGCTAAAATGTAAGAAATACATAAAATTAGTAAGGCAATTATTCATTCAACTCAGAAAGATAAAAATATGGTCCCAATTATCCACAGTAAAATTAAGAGTAAACTATTGCAAAAAATAGGTAGGTGCCAAATACTTTAGCAAACAATGGAATCATTAGATTAAACAAGAAAATAGATAGATTTGAGAACGAATAGAAGATTGAGAAAACTTATGGAGATTTTGTTGATTTAGAATAATGATTTAGGTTTTTATTAACGAATTAATCAATTTATATTTCATTTTTAAATATATTCGATAATTTATAAAATTTATTATATGCCGGGGTTTTGGGGTTTTGGGG